TGTTTGGAAAAACATTTTCAAACAGACTTCAGTGACAGAATGTGCACTGGTAAGATAACTTGGTGAACAAGCAAACATTTCTTCATGTGTGTGTGTCTTTCTTTGAATAGTTATTTATCTACTTCTTTAATTGTCTCATCATTTTCACAGCTTGTCCTAGTGGGTCCAGATTTGAAAATAATACATGTGTGAAGTAAGTGCTCCTCCTCCTGTATGTTCAGTATTGATGTAAGTTTGGGTAAATAAAATCCTAAAATAAACATTTTTTTTGTCTTGTAGATGTTCGTTTGGTTATTCTGGTTTGGAATGCAGTGAAAGTGAGTATACTGTATGTGTTTAAAAGTGAAAGCTGAAACATAATTTTTTGGGGAAAAAAAAAAAAAACCCTAACGAGTATTGACAACAAATACTAAAATTGATTTTCTACCAAAGGGAATTCAGTTAAGGACTTAAATTAGTTAAGGACTTAAATCTTTGTTGTGTTTTATTAGACTGGCAGCTCATTCTGGTAATTGTGGGCTCTGTTCTTGGGGGACTGCTGCTCATAGCCCTCATCCTTCTACCAATAATCCCTACCATGTAAGTTTCCCACCAACCCATCCACTCACTTTAAACATTAATTTATTAATTAATTAATTTAAGCCATCCACATCTTTATTAGAAATTTTAAATGTAAAAGTTTGCAAATGCCTGATGAACACTGTAATAGTAAAGTGTAATGCTTTTTTACCATTTTGTTATCAGATCCTCAAAGAAAATCTCCAAAAACATCAAAGATGGAGATATGGAAAACCCACACATGAACCAGGATTTGTTCACATTTAAAGGGTTCACTAGCCTGCCAATTTTTTCCAATGGTGCGCCCAAACTCCCACGAGCCACCAACTCCACCAACACCAACAGCATAACCAACCTGGAGATAACTTCAAACAGTCGACAAAGCCCTGTCTTTGTGAACAACAGCTCAGTGAGTATGCGTCATGTTTCGGCTGTGTGCAGGCAAGAGAAGGATCCAAACGCAAAACTCACCGAGACAAAAGTGAACTCAGAACACTGCTTTATTGCAGGCTTGGAAAGGAAACAAAGAACAAAACTAAACTGGGAAAACTACAAATAAATCATACGTGAAAACACATGGCCACTCACATAGCTATGAGGGAGACTATGACACTGACAAAGAGAAACACAGGGCTTAAATACACTGAGGGATAACGAGGGACTGAGACACAGAAGGAGAGCAGAGCTGGGAGTAATCAGACTGGACAAGACAAGGGAAGCAAAACTAGAAACACTGACATGAGACACGGACCTTCAAAATAAAACAGGAAACAGGAAAGGACTGAACTCTAAACATGTAAACTTAACAGCAACTGGGGAGACAGAACATAGGAACCTGAAACATGGTACAGAAAGGCACAGTAGACACAACATGGAACACAGTGAAGCCATATTACAAGAACTAAGCCTATGATAACCATAACTGAAACCTTGGGAAATAATAACTATAAAGATCAAAACAGCACAACCCACATGAACATAATGAACTCGCAGACATCACAACCTGAACTTGACAACGTAAGACACAGACATGAAACACATGAAGGGCAAGGGAGACTTAACATGGGTGGAAGACACAAGGGGAATCTAATAACAAACTATAACAACCTAGGCATGATAAAAAATGAACTAGAAAACCTGAAGGACTTAAACATAAACCATAAACTAAAACTCAAAACGCTGGGTCAAAAGACACAGGATTGTGACAGTATGTCTCTGTGTGTCCATAGAGATGTAGGCTTCGATTTGCATTTCTCCCTGATTTTATGAAGCTTTTCGTTTTTATGTCGTTTGTTGTTCATTTCACTGCGAAAGTAATTTATTGTTTTCCCTCTGCAGGAGTTTTATAGTGACCAAAATAACACAAACCCATACACTCAGGCTCGACGTCAGAACAACCTCTACGCTGTGAATCGACCCCAGATCAAACCACATGCTCAGAGCCAAGGCTACGATAACCCTTACTACCAGTACGACAGTGAAAGC